TCATGGGTTGGGAGCTATAGACACTATCCTCCTTCCCCCGCCCATTCATTAAACACACCTGTCTCTAAGGTTGTTTCCTGTATCTCCTACTCAGCATCTCCCACAGCACCTGAAGAGTGCCAAGACTGCCTGCAGGGCCCTGGGGTGTCGCCAGGCTTCCGCCTAAGCCTTACGGTTTAACTGTTTTATGCCCAGTTTGTATAAATGGTACTCTAATCCATTAACCTCTGATAGCAAGGAACATTTTTTTTTTAGGCTTTAATTTCTGCCAAATCAGGAAATATTTTGTCTTTGAAGGAGTTTTAAACGTAATTGCAAGGCTTTCTAGTCTTACAGAATTTGGAGGCGTGCTGAGAAGAACAGCCTAAATTGGCAGTCAGTTTACCTAGTGAATTTTAATCATTCTGACTCAATTCAAGTACAGAAAGGAGTCAAAATGACTCATCTTGGGTATTTGTTTTATTGTTTGTACTACCCTTTTGGAAAGTAAATTTTTGCTATGAAAGTACGATTTAAAATTATGTTTCCTCATGCTTCAGGAAGCCCTAGAGTCATAGTTCTGCTTCCTTAGTAAGATAATTATTCATGGCCTAAATGATGTTGGAATAGCTAGCATAGATTTGTCACCAGGCAACAAATGGGCCTTTTGAGCTAGTTAAGATGCAGTGGTGTAACTGAGTTCCCTTCAGATCTTTACTCTCTAGTCAAGGTGGCTTTTGCATTTTCTCTCATGCCCTTAAGGAAGGCCTGCTGGGGATGTGCTGCATTTCTTAGTTCAGTAAACACATAATATCTTGCTTTAACTTTAAAAACCATTAGTTAATACTTGAAGAAATATATCTGTTACAAAAAAGTGTTTAAGAGTATGCATACACACATATATGAGCAATTAAAGACAGAGTGATCAAAAATCAATAAGGAGAAAATAATTCTACCAATAATCCATTTTTAAAGAATTCCATGATGGAGATCTACATTCTGTTTAAAAATTTCTGGCATGCGTGGCAAAGAGTGACACCTGATGACACTTTTTGACTGACATAAGAAAATTGATAAGTTGGTAGAAACAAAATTTTTACTTATTAATCTTTAGGAGAAATTTGATGTTAACTTTTTATTAAGTGATATTTAGTTGAACAAAAATCCAAATGTGGGTTTAAAATAGAGATATTTTGTTTAAACAGATTTTTTCAAAATAGTTTCTTCATTAGTCTTTTTTTCTGTGCATTTTTATGTATTTAATATTCTACTCTATGTGGTAGTTCTATATCCCAGTAGTAACATGATTATATACCATTTTACCATGTGATTAAACATTTCTTAAATACTATATGAAATGATTACATATTATTCAATTCTATGGTTGTATGTTTTTTCATACACATTCTCCTGGTATTAGGGATTTAGAATGTCTTCATTTTTTCACTATAAATAAGATGAACATTTTTGGATGTAAATATTGATAGTTTTAACTGTTTCCCAAGGAAAGCTTACTACTAAGTTTACTGAATCAAAGAACAAGGACCCTGAAGTATCAAATTCTCTTTGGAGATGTGATAGTCATTGGCATTGCCACTAGCATACGTGATTCCTTTCTTAATGCAGACTCTCCAAATTTGAATATTCTTTAAAATGAAATTGGTTAATTTGGAAGTGTAAAAGTGCTATAATATGGTTCCTTTGGTTTGTATTTCTTTGATTACCAGAACTTTTATTTAAATATTAAATGTATAAAGATGATTCTAATTATGATCCGGACAAAACATTGTGCAGACATTGTCGGAAAAAGTAAACTGGTATTTGACTAGGCCTATGTGAAAGGCATGGTGTCAGTCGTTTTTTCACAACAACTGTGTGGGGTAGGTTTTACAGCCGCTCTAGAGATCAGGAAAAGAGTATCAGAGAGGTAGTTCCCAAGCCACAGAGGTATCATTCAGAGGCTGAGTCAGTGCTCTATCTCCTGGACCATGTTTAAGTAACCTGGCTTGGTTACTTAATAACCTGGCTTGGTTACTGGATAACAAATGTCACTTCTTCTGTCCTCGCTTACCTATAAGTTGTGTCAATGGTAATTACTAGGACTTTAATATCAACAAATTTGCTAATATGTGCATCAAAACCAGGTAACATTTGGGGCCCCTAGAGTAATGGTGGCTGTGTTACATGACTGAATTTAGAATCACATGCAGATGGAGAGCTTCAGAAACGTAGAGGCCAGCAGCATCCCTTTTTTTTCCAGATAAGCCTACCAACTGGTCAACATTTATTTAGGTGAAAGCATATGGCTGAATGATGAAGCATAGGTTATATTTATCTTAAACTGGTCCTCCACAGTAGTTTTATCAGTTTTTATTTTGACCAACTTTGCATACATGCTACTGTCGTTCTAGGGATGCTTTGTCTGATAAGATAGTCACTGGACAAACGTAGCTAATGAGCGTGGCTGGCTCAAATTAAAATTACTGAAAGTGTGAAAAACACACTGGATTTCAAAAACTTAGCATGAAAACTGTAAAGTATCTCCCTGATAATTTTATGTTGGTTACTACTGTGTAAGGCTTTTCTTCCTTAAATATCGAGGTTACGACTGCCTTTTCACATGTCACTTTGCAGTTGCATATGCATATACTGCGGTATATTGCTGTGCGGGATATATTTCTTTCTCTTTATACAAAAAAACCCCCATGACTATTACTATATTTGCTGTACTCTGATTAGCTCTTCCAGAGCTTAATTTCCTCATGTGACACAAGATAGCTCGTTCTCTTTGCATGCTCTACTGAGCAGATAGTTCTCAGGGCTTTCATCTTCTGGAAGTAAAATACCGATGCCTGGCCTGACCCAGCCTGGCCTGAAGATCAATGTTCTAGGCCCTGCTAATCATCAGTAAGAGATATCTGTACTATTGATTAGTGTACTGTGGCCATACCAACCTTTAGGTCAGGATCTCTTCTCTTTTCTACTAACTCCTCTGTTTCCAAATGTTTCCTCTGTTATTTCTTTTCAGAACTTTTGGGTCTGTTTCTATTCTCCCTGTGGCTTTGGGTGAATATCATCAGTTTTTGGGTCACTTCCTTTCAGAAGTCTCAGCAATACAGAGTGTTAGAATTTGAATATGTCATGTGGTCCATCCACTGCTTTCTTCCTTTCTTCTCTTGTTGGCAATTTATTTTCTTTTAAAATTCTGTTCTAATAATTTGTATTACAAAAGCAGTATTCCTTATAACAATCCGTAGAGTACCAAAGTGTCTGAAGAAACATGAATAGCTTCCTCTTGCCCTTGCACTTCATGTTAATGCTTTAGTATCTATTTAGATGTCTTTTTTTTTTTTTTGCTTTTTGTTTATTTCTATAATGGTTATACCAACAGTAAAATGTAAAGGAAAGGATTTGAGATTTTTCAAAAAGTCTTATGGGCTAGTTGTTTTTAAAACTAATGTATTTATTTTGAAATGAACATGTTTTCTTACTATACATATTTTCATTGAATTCTTTTTTTTCACAAAATTTTATACATTGGACAAGTGAATTTTCACTGACTTGCCTCATTCTACTTATGAGGGAAATAGCTGTGCAGTATCTCAATAGTGATGCACATTCTCCTCATGAAAACTGAGATGTTGAAGATATTTCGAGTTCCTGTTACTGTACAAACAAGGTTACAGTAAAACATCAACACATATATTTTTCCATTGTATCTTGATATGTTAGATAATTTCCTTAAAATGGGCGGGCAAGGTTAAGACAAATCATGTTTGACAGAGTTTCCATATTACTTTTTTTTAAAAGGGTAGTAATTATAGTCCTGCCAACAAACTATTAGTGTCTCTAGTTTCCCACACTGGATAGTAGTTCATATTTATCAGTTTCAAGAGTCAGAAGTTAAATAGTATTGTTGCATAATATTAAATTTCCCTGCCTACTTTGAGAGTAAACATTATATATTTATCAAAATCAAGAGCTTATCAACTACTTGTATTTCTTCTGTTTTTTTAAGTTGCCCATTTGTACGCATTGGCCATATTTTCGTGTGCATATGTTGTATATTTCTTAAAGTATTTCAGAGAATTTAATTCTTTGTCATCTTATCTTGAAACGATTTTCCCTGTTGATCACTTGTTTTTAACTTTCTTTATGAAATTTTCTTCTGTACATGAGGTTTTTAAAAAAACTTCTATGCAATCAAATCGTCCAGTGTTTCCTTGCTTGCTTATTTTGCTAAAGAAGGCCTTTGCACATTTTATTATAAAAATAGCCTTCCACATTTACTCCTAAACATCTGTAGTTTTATTTTTCACTTCCGATCACTTATTTATCTGTAATTGATTTATTTTTGGTATGATGTGAGGTGAAGGGCCTAACTTTATATATGCAAAACGTATAGCCACTTATCTCCATGTTATTTATTAAGTAATACATCATTTTCCCTCTGGTTTTTATTGCCACTTTCTTCATGTAATGAATTTCCATTGAGACAGTTTTCTCTTCTAGATTCTTTAATTTGTACTGTTAGTTATATATCTAGTTCAGAGTGTCAGCACCTTGCTATTTTTATTAGTCTAGTTTTAATATTTAAAGATATTAAATATCCATGAACACCTTAGCAAGAGTCTAGTAATAGGGTATTGTCCTTCCCAGGATTTGGCTTTACCTTATTCTACTTATAAACTAATAAATTAACTTGTTACAGTTTCATGGATGCCAATAGTAGACATGAGATTCCTGGGTTGGACGCAAAGAACTTTATTACACCACAGGAGGCAGCATGAACATCAGCATGTTTGCATCAGTTCCCCTTGTCCCCCACTCTCATGTGGGTCACATGAGACATGGGCCTAGATTGATGCTACACACGTAGGTTTGAGTCACAGGTGAGGAGCACTGAGCTTGTGGAATCCACCTCTTTTATAGCAAGCAGTAAGTTAGTCTGCTCTTTGTCCCAGAGGGAGACATGGCCTCATCCCTAAGGTTGTTGCCTATTCCACACAGAAGCTTGAGAAATGGCCAAGGTGAAGAGCAGTAAAGGTCTTGCATTGTTGGCAAACCCCGTAAGATGTGTAGGTATAGGAGAGACCCATTGAGGATTGTCTTTCCCAAAGGTATTAATAATCCAGTGATTTTAAAGCTTAAAATATTATCAACTGTTCCTTCCAATGATGTTGAATATAGACACCAAGTGTAGAAAGCTGATAAATGTGGAAGTGTGCTGGTTGAGGCCAACTTCATCTGTGTGACTAAGGGCTGGAAGCTGCCCATTTGGCAGCCTCTCTTATTCTTGGGCCTGCCTCTGATCCAGCTCCATGAAACTCATGAATAAAGGCTACTTCTCAAAACTCCTCCTTTAAAGATGAAGAAAATGGGCTCAGGGAACTGAAATGATATGCTTATTAAGGTTGGGGTCAGATAGTGGTTGCTGAAGTACTAAATAAAAATACCCTTTTCATTGTTTGTTTTCTGCATCTTCTTTTAAAACTTCCCTCCTTGACTTGCTCGTGAACAAAAGAAACGAGAAAAATTTGTGAAACAAACAACTCAATCTTATATTCAAACAAGCATTGCTCTAGGAGAAAATACATGCTCCAAAATCTAATATATATATTAATATTTTCTTGCCTTATTATATGTGAGTTACATAACCCCCCATATTAACATAATGTTAATATGATTTGAAAGTAAATTCAGTGGCATTTTCACTACACAGAGTTGTGGCATGACTCTGAGATTACGCTTTTATTGAATTATAAAAATTGATCAAATCACATAGCAAAATAATGTTTTGGTCTAATAACAGTCTATACTATTGATAATGTAATTTACTTGGTCATTTTATACAACTTATTGTAGAGCTGTCTTAGTCTAGGAGGGAAATGTGACAACAGATATTCATGTAAATAATTGAAATAATGTTTTAATATTTCTTAACATTGGAAAATTTTATTTGTGTGTATATCTGTATATATACAAGTAGATGTGTGTGTGTGTGTGTGTGTGTATATGCATATGTATATATTTTAGAGCTAAAATTAGAAATTTCCCTGGGAAGAAATTAGGACTTAAAATACCATGAGGTTTAATTTGGGGAGATAACATACGTGCAGTGTTGTGTGTTAGCATACAGAACTGTGAATCACATCTACCAATTTTAAAAAATGTATAGTGTCAAATAGAAGCATGATCAGGAGAAACCAAAATATGCCTTGCACATGGAATTAACCATTGGAATAAAAATAACCTCATATGTCTATGTGTGGAATTCTTAAACTTGGATTTAAGTACTTTTTGCTTCTCTTGTATATTTTAAAATTTCATGTGAAAAAAATGGACAGTCAGATGTGGGAAGACATGTCATTTTAATTTACCAATCTGGGAATCCACAGAAAGAAGGGATATTCATTTAAAGCACTTTTAGTTGTTGTTTTTTTTTTTTTTTAAGTCTCTGAGAAGACTGTTTTAACAGCTAATAAGTATATAGGTAAATGATGGTTGTGAGTTAATCTTAATTGTTTTTAAATCCTTAAATTAGATTTGTATTCACTTACATTACCTTTTAAGCATGTCAGTTATACATTTATAACTGTAAACATGTATAACAGTTATACATTGTCACCCAGTTTATCTCACGATTCCATAACTTTATAAGTAGAATGATTTTTTTTTTCAACATACCACACACTGTCACTGCTCTCATCAGCTCAGAGTACCATCACAAGCAGTTTTCTTTTGCACCTGCTAAAAACAGAACCTGTCTACCTGAGCCACACTTCCAAAGGAAAGCTAATTAAAGCACTCAGTAGGGGCTGGGCCCATGAGCCATGGTCGCTGAGCCTGTGCGTCCGGAGCCTGTGCTCCGCAGCGGGAGAGGCCACAACAGTGAGAGGCCCGCGTACCGCAAAAAAAAAAAAAAAAAAAGCACTCAGTAAACAATTTACTTTTTCATTGAGTAAACAGCATGCCCGAATGCCTGTTAATTTCTTTTGCTATTTACTCAGCCTTCTTGAAACTCTGTGGACTTCTTTCATCTGTTATATATCATGTATTTATTCTTTCATTCTTGTTTAATTCATCAACATACTGCAATACATGAGTAACTACTGGAAAAATAACTACTCTCCACTTTAAAAAAAGTCACATTCATACAGAAGTAATTATGTAAGTATTATCTAAGTATACAAAAATCTTAATAATAGACTTAAAAGACTTAAATAGAAGTGAAGAGTGTCAGCTGAGCCATGCAAAACAAAAGATTGAATGTGTTTTGTGACTTTTATAAAAAGAATCATCCTCTATTTAAAAGCCTTCCTCTTTTATGGGGATCTAATTGACCTAGAGTCAGTTTTCTCATGGCATTGTAATACAGTGTAAAGAGAGATACACTAAATGATGGACACAACATATTTTGATAATATACCTGTCTGAATAATCTAAGACAGGTTTTTTTTTCAAAAAAGCATTTTATGTGCATCCCACACAATGCTACACTAAAAACATATCCCTCAAGAAAATTTGCAAATGCTTCATATTTAATTTCTCTTAAAGATATGAATTGCATATATTACTTCTATGACAGTCCTTTTAATAAAGGACTTTGTTGAACCAAGTATAAAAAAAAATTATTTTACCACAGTCATTTTACTTATTTGGCAGAACTAGTGTTCTAAATGACACATATTGCTCAAGAAATAGTAGTTTAAATACTAAATACATTTTAATTAATACCTTCATTTTCTTTTTCTCTTTCTTTTTTTTTTTTTTTTTTTTTTTTTGGCGGTACGCGGGCCTCTCACTGTTCTGGCCTCTCCCGTTGTGGAGCACAGGCTCCGGACGCGCAGGCTCAGCGGCCATGGCTCACGGGCCCAGCCGCTCCGTGGCATGTGGGATCCTCCCGGACCGGGGCACGAACCCGTGTCCCCTGCATCAGCAGGTGGACTCTCAACCACTGCGCCACCAGGGAAGCCCAGTACCTTCATTTTCTTATTCCTAAAATTCTTTCTTTTGCCTCCAGAGACATAAATGACACCATCTAGGGAAATTTTCCATTAAGGTGTATGACACACACTTCATGTTCAATATGCCCCATGTTGGAGTCGTCATTTTTTCCTTGTGTCCCTCTTCATGTGTCCCCTGTCAGACTGAAAGGCATCACAGATCCCGAGGGTCATTCTAGACTTCTCTTTCTCTATCACTCGCCCGGAAGCAGTAGCTTTCAACTGTTGTCAATTCTACGTGCTAAAGATATCTGTTCTCTTGCCTCCTTCTTAGTCTTACTGTGAGAGCCTTGTTTGAGCCCTTGTTTATCGTCTTCGCTAATGTGATAGACCATGAATACTTTATTTGGGGAAACTCAGTTTCTCAAATTTCATTCTCCTACAAGTTGCCGAATATTTCTGCAGTTTCCTTGTGTATCATGTTCTACTGAATCCCTTAGTCTTTTCTCACTTAGGACTATATTCAGTGCCATGAGCAAAGAATATACTTTCAGTCCTCCATGTGCCTCAATACTTTGCATGTGCCTCAATATTCTCCACCTCCCCACATCTTTCTCTCCTGTCCATTCTTTGAGATTCATCTCAGATACCATTTCCCCTTGACCCCCTGCTTCATGTTCTAATACTCCAGTCAGCCCTCTTATATATCTTGCAGTTGCCTGTTTAGTCGTGTCATCCCATGGGAATGTGACCCTTGGAGCACCGTCGGTGCTATCAAAATGCCAGCATGTGGTAGGTGGTCAATACGTGTTTGTTCAATGAAGGAAAGACAGAATTTAGGGAAATGGCATGTAGAGTAAAAGTCATGCTTTGTGTTAATAGCATCATAATTGTAGTTAGAAGTAGTATGAAACTTGGTTATTTAGTTCTATATTGGCTGCGAGTATTTTTAAAGCCCTCTTAAAAAGTCTTACATACTAATATATATATATCTTTGCATGTGTTCTTAAAGTACAGAAGTATTAGAAAGAAGATGAAAATGTAAGAACTTTCTATTTTTTAATTATTTCTTTAAATATTACCGCAATGAGGCCAGCCTAGACCACTCTGTTTACTACTGTAACCTGCCTGGCACCTCCCATAATGCAATGTTTTCTTACCCTGCTCTCTTTTTTCTTTGTCCAGAGCACTTACTACCTTGTAACATAATATTTCATTTACTAATTTACTATGTTTTAAAAAAATTATGTCTCTGCCTCCCTAGATGCAAGGCACAGAGTAGACTCACAAATCCAGGTACTTGGCTTACGACAGCATACTATCATGAAATCTTTATACAACCAGTGAATTAGTCCTGTATGGTTACTGCAGATGCAGTACCTGAATAAGGTATACTGGAAAGTTGATTCAGAATGCTACGATCTGGTCAGACTCATATCTGGTGAGCTGCAAATGTTTTTAACGACTTTCCTACCTCACCTTTTCCCAATATGCCTCATTTCAAAAGGTGAAAAGAAGACACATACACCACATATTTGGAAGAACTTTCTGCATGTAAAGCCTCATTGTAAAATTGAGTCCATAAAAGATATTGTATCTTCTGTTATGGCTGAGGGATAAACGAATGAAACTAAGTTTCAAGGAAAAGAGACAATGGGTTTGATGATCTGTTGAGAGGCAGCATAGCGGGGTTGTCAAGATGGCACCTGTACCACCTCTTAGTAGCTCGGTTTTGTCACCTATCAAAGAGGACCTCCCTCGTGGGGCTGTTGTGAGGATTAGAAGAGTGGATACCTGTTAAGCTTTAGGAACAGTTCATGACGCTGCACTTGATGAAACTCAGTAAACGATAGTTTTGCTCACTACAGTTGGCAGATCTAGAAGGCCTATGGTACCGAGATATACCTTTTGCTGAATAGACGGGATGAAAATGATTCCTTTCTAAGTGAAGCTTCACCTCTAAAAAGAGTTAAGCTGCTTAATGAAATGTGTTTTTATGTTAAATAGTAAGTGTGAGCCTTTACGGCAAGCTTGAAAGATTATGTCAGGTTATTTTATATAATGCAAAATGTAATGGGCCCTGACTAAAAGAAAATACGTGCATTGCTGTGTGCTTTTATTTG